CTTGAGCCTGGGATGTCAACGCTGCAGTGAGCTGTCATTTTGCTACTGCCCTCCAGCCTGGGCAACAGAGAAAGATCCTGTTTCAAAAATGAATGAATGAATGAACAAAAAGGTTTGGATTTTTCCATAAAAAAGTATTTTTTAGAGTAAAAAGAGAAATCTTAGCGATAAATAAAAACATTACCTGCATTAAAAAGAAAAGTTTTCTTGTAGCTATGGTAGGCAACTGCTACAGTATTCAAACTGGGGCAGAATTTGTAAAAAAACAAAAAAACAAAAAAACCCACAAAAAACCACAAGGCTTGAGAAAGATTATTCTAGTTTCGGAGGCAGGCATGGAGATGTTTTTTGGCCCCAGGGAACTGAGGCTCAGGCCCGGAGCTCCTCGGGGGGCCTGGTTCTCTGGTTCTTTATTAATAGACTCAGCTTCGCTGCCGGGGGAGCCGCCGACCGGGGGAGGACAGCTGCCGCGTGGTCGGCGGGAGGGGAATGAGGCCTCCCCAGTGTGGCTGCAGTCGCAGGCTCCTTGCCGCCGCCGAGAGCACGGCCTCCATGGCACAGGTAAGCGTGGCGCCTCGACGCCCCCACAGACCGGGTACCTGTCCCTGCCCCGCCCGGCCTGCAGGTGGCACCGAGGCGGGGCGCAGGGAAGGGCGCACTGTCAAGGCCGAAGAGCCCTGGGAACAGACAGGGCGCGGGGCCAATCCCAGCTGGGCGCGCACCGGGGCGCTGAGCGGGGGAGGAAGTGACCTTGGAGCCGGGACCTGTAGGCGACTGAGGTTCCAGGGAAAGGAGGGAAGGGCATTTGAGGTGAGAATGACAGTCCAGCTTCTGTAGCGCAAACCGCGAAGGCCCACGCGCAAGGAGAGCCCGACGCGCAAGAACCGCCAGGGCTCGTGGGGTGCAACCGCGCGTCGGGAACGTGTGCCCTGGCCCAGCCCCCCTGTCTTTTGGGGCGGTGAAATCTGCGGGGGTCGAGTGCCCGGGCTCACTTGTGGTCCAGACAAGAGCCAGCAGGGGGACAAACCCCCAACTTCTAACCTCAAAGAAACGCAAATTAAAAGGAGAGATGAGAGGTTCTTCCCTCCTTCACCCCTCCTTTTAGGATTGGCAAAGATTAAAATAATCCCTAATCGGAGACAGGGACCCGCTTGCACGCGCGGGTGGTAGTGGAAGTTGGTAAGCTTTTCGGCATGGTAGCTTGGCCTGTGGCATCAAAATGTTGCATGTGCCTGGTTGCGTCCCCTCCAGGGATCTATCCTACAGGAGAACCAAGAGCTCCAAGAGGTACATCGACGGCCAACGCAGCTTTTATTTATACCTGCAATGGTGGGGTGGGGGGCGGGGAGGAGGGCTTAATTGTCCACTGGGGGCCGCGTAAATGGATCACAGCACCGTAAAAGGAAATCTTACGCAGCCCTGGGAAGGCCGGCGTTCATCTCCGTCCCCCCACAGAGAACTATGTCCACGACTGAAGCCAAGCGAAAACAAAACAGCTTACAGACAGCTTGCTTCCTAGCCTTCCTTTAAAACAGTGAGCCTGAGAACCGCAGGGAGAGTTAACTGCAGCGGTGGTGGGGGGCGGGATCAAAGGAGAACTTTCATTTTCTCTTCTAAATTATTCTGCGGTAACAGCCAAATAATACAGAAAGAAGGATGGTTGCTAACATGGATTTTTCATAACTAGAAGTAGTCGACCTTAAAAAGAGCCGGGTTCATAAAAAATGGTTTAAAAGAGTCTGTTCATAAAATCGGTGCACTTATGGAGCACCTGCTGTATGCAGAGCTGCCAGCTCGCGCCTGGAAGCATTGCGGGTAAAGATAGGGGAGGGGTGGCTCCCGGGCAGGAAGAGCCCCTTGGCCCTCCTGTTATGCTTGGGGCCCCTCTCCCTCCCCGTCAACCCCCCGGGTCGCCTGCAGCTGCGCTCGCCCTAGACTCCTGGGACGGGTGGATGTTCAGTTCCCGCTCCCGGCCCCTCTCCCGAGCTCCAGCACAAGGGTCTCTCGGGCACTCTGCCCTGGACTCCAGCTACTCCTCTCGCGGCACCTATTATGTTCTTGACGTTGGAAGAATTATTTTAGTAAATCTCACCAAAGCCCAGTAAGGAAGGCATTTATATCCTAGCTAGATGAGGAGGAGCCACGCTGCCTCCGGATCGCTCGTGGTATAAGGTCTGATTTGGGGCATGGGCTGTGGAGTCAGATCTGGACCCACTGTCCGGTCTATCATTCCCCCCGCTTTTTTTTTTTTTAGAGACGGGGGTCTCCCTACGTTGCCCAGGCTGGCCTTGAACTCCTGGCTTCAAGCGATCTTCCCGCCTCAGCCTCCGGAGTAGCTGGGATTATAGGCGCGCGCCACCACTCCCGGTGGATCGGTTGCTCCTCAGCTCAGTGACGTTGGACAACTTATTTCCCGGCCCGCCACCCTTGTCTGCATAAAGGAGTCGGGGGTGAATACCATCAGGGGGTGCCTGGAGCATTACACCGGGCAATGCCGATAAGTCGCGAGCATGAGCCAGGCACATAGCCAAGCATTTTAAGCGCACGGCCTCCACGAGATGACTCATTTTACGGATGAGGAAACTGA